TTTCCAGTGTTGTAACATGACTGAGATGACCAGAAACTTCTGGGAAGGCTGTTCATGACTACACAGGGTGTCTCTGGCCTTACCTCCAAGCCAGGCCCTCGGTTAGGGAGTGAATGACAGGATGGACAACAGAGGTAGTGAGAGCAGAGAACCCTGCTTGCCTGACTATAAACTGCACACTCAATGGCTACCAGGATATTTAGAAGTAATTGATCTAACTGCCCCTTATGAACGGGCTCATCGCTCAGTGGACATGCATCTATGCCTAGCACATGTCCATCTCCATGGAGGGAGGAAGGGGGAGACACCAGGATGCGCTCCCCTTCCCAATGCTGAAATGCAGACAGATGTCACAATACATCTGCTCAGGACCAAGATGGATCCAGCTTCTCATAGGAGGACATGACTCAGAAAGGGTTTAGGCCAAAGATAGAACAAAATGTAGTCACTTGCTGAAACTCCCATACCTGCAGTTAACGTTTCCTGGAGAAGCTCCTTGTTGTGGAGAGAAACTTTCAGATTTCCACTCTCTCTTGTCCCAAAACATGCACTGGAGCCACTGGAAACATACTGTATACTTCACAGCCTTAGTGAAGTTCTTGTTGGGAGGTCTTCTGTCATAATCAGCATCCAGTAGGGATAAATATCCCATGTTGGCTCCTAAGAAAAGAGAAAAAAATGGAATGTCAAATTGTGGCCAGTTTTGACAGGTTTTAAAGTCTTGTAAACATTATGCATAGGCAGGACTTGAACTGTGATGCCATAATCTCTATCTCTTGAGTAGCTGGGATTACAGGTGTTCCAGGCTGTCTGGGAAAATTAAATGGAGAATTAAATGCATGCATACTTTCACAAAGTAATAGTGGGGTGCCAAGAAAGGAAACAGCGTCCCTAGTGTTCTCCATGTTCCATGGCTCTCCTGACACTCTGAACAGAGGGCCCCAACCTCATGAGGATGGGCAGTGCTCAGTGTCCAGTCTCTATCTCCAGTGCAATTCAAGCCACGTCCTGCTTCTCTCCAGCCTATCAGCCAACACACCAAACACCCTCTGGGCCCATTTGCACCTTTCCATTTGGCTTCATACCACATTTCCATACACACACACACACACACACACACACACACACACACATATATATGTACACACATACATACACATGCACATATATACATATACATATATGTGTATATATTATGTGTTTAAAAGCAAAATCACTTAACAGTCTACTTATTTACAATTTTTTCCTAAGATTTCAAGTGAATGGTATTGGGAGAATTAGATAGTAGCTGTTACTAAAAATATGGAATTAAAGCCAGGTACCAGTGGCTCATACCTGTAATCTTAACTACTCAAGAAGCTGAGATCTGAGAATCACAGTTCTTTTCTTTTGGGGGGGGGGTCAGTAGTGAGGCTTGAACTCTGGGCTTGGGCGCTGTCCCTCAGCTCAAGGAAAGCACTCTACCGCTTAAGCCACAGCGCCACTTCTGGTTTTCTAGTGGTTTATTGGAGATAAGAGTCTCATGGACTTTCCTGCCCGGGTTGGCTTTGAACTGCGATCCTCAGATCTCAGCCTCCTGAGTAGCTAAGACTACAGATGTGAGCCACCGGTGCCCGGCTAGGATCACAGTTCTAAGCCAGCCCAGGTAGGAAAATCTATAAGAATCTTATCTCTGATTGACCACCAAAAAGCCAGTAATGGAGCTGTGGCTCAAGGGGCAGAGTGCTAGCCTTGAGCTAAAATGCTCAGGGACAGTGCCCATGCCCTGAATTCAAGCTCCAGGACCGACACAAAACAATAAATAGGAAATTAGAACTGATGTCAGTGGCTCAAACCTATAATCCTAGGTATTCAGGGGACTGAGAGACAGAAAATTTTAGTTTGAAGCCAACTGGGGCAGAAAAATCCAAGATATTCCATCTCTAAAATAACCAGTAAAAAATGTAGGGCTAGGGAGTGGGTCAGGCGATAGAACACTAGCTGAGCAAATGAGCAAGCACAAGGCCCTGAGTTCAAACCCTGACAAATACATGGAATTAGAGCCCTTTCTCATCTACAATAACAAACACCAGATGATCACAGATCTCAATGCAAAAAACAAAATTGGACCAAAACAAAGCACATGAACAGCTTGCTTTAGAACTAGATGTAAGTAGCTAATTTCTACTAATAGCTCAAAGCCTACACCTCTTTTATTCTAGAAATGAGGTTCTAAGCAGATATAGCCAGCAAAGATCTCCCATCCTGTAGGCAGTCTTTTTAACCTAGTAATTATGCCTTTGGTTATGCAGAAATCAGAAGTGGTGCTATGGCTCAAGTGGTAGAGCATTCACCTTGAGCTGAAGAGTGCAGGGACAGCGCCAAAGCCCATAGTTCAAGCCCCACTACCGACAAAAAAAAAAAAAATCAGATGGTTGTAGGTATATGGTTTTGTTTCTGGCTCTTCTAGTTTAGTCTACTGGTCTTCAGGTCTATTTTTGTGCCACACCAAACTGTTATTGTTACTATAGCTCTGTAATAAAGTTTGAGATTTGAACTTGTAATACCTCCTACATTGCTTCTTCTCTGGACCGAGATTTGCTTTGGCTATTCCAAGCCTTTTGTGGTTCCACATGAATTTTTGGATTGTTTTTTTCTCTGTCAGTGAAGAATAATATTGAGATTTTTATGGGCATTTCATTGAATTTGTAGCTCCCCTTTGGCAAAATGGCCATTTTCACGATATTAATTCTGCCGATCCATAAACATGAGAAGTCTTTCTACTTCTCCTTCAATTTCTTTCTTTAGAGTTTTATAGTTTTTGCTGTAGAAAACTTTCACTTTCTTGGCTAGGTTTTTCCTGGGTATTTTATACTTTAAGGTTACTGCAAGTGGAATTGCTTAACTGATTTCCTTCTCTATCTGCTTCTGGTTCTTTTTTTTTTTGGAGGGGGGGGCGGTCATGGGGCCTGAATTCTGGGCCTGGGCACTATCCCTCAGCTCTTCAGCTCAAGGCTAACACTCTACCACTTGAGCCACAGCGCCACTTCCCACTTTTTTCTTTTTGCTCATGTGGTGCTGAGGAATCGAACCCAGGGCCTCATGCATGCAAGGCAAGCGCTCTACCACTGAGCCACCTTCCCAGCCCCTGCTTCTGGTTCTTGAAATACAGAAAAGCTATGGATTTTTGTGGGTTAACTTTATATCCAGCTACTTAGCTGGCATCCAACTTTTTATCTATTTTTTTTTACTTTTCTAATTTCTTATAATAAAATATTGAGGAAAAGAAAACAGTAGATGCATATATATGTGTATATAATTGCCATTGAGAATTTGATCAACCACCCAGTTTGACTCATTTTAAAAGGAAATGAGAACTATAAAGTGACCAAGTCTCAGTGGAAAATCATATCCCAGGACTGGTCCATTCACCTAAAAGTCAGATGTCAACTTATTGGAGAATGACTGCCTGCTCATAAATGGGTTTAGAGCATTTCTCCATTTTTCCTGTTAGTCCTGTGTGGTTTGCTTAAGCATGATGAGCTCCACTACCTTGCCTTTAGTGAGAGAAGACTGAGAAACACCTGGTTATGAAGGCTAGCCCTGTGCCTCTGTTCACTGCTTCTGTAAGGATCACCCAAGGTCCTGTTCGCCATGCTTCTGTGTGAAACACAAACTTGCTTCCTCTCTGGGGGGGAGCCCCTGATGCCAGAGGAGGCCCAAGCAGGTCAGAGGTAAAGTCAAGATGTGTAGACGCAGGAGACAAACTCTGCAGTCAGAAGGCTTGGCAGAAGTGAGGAATGAAGGGGAGACACAGCTGTCCTGGGGCCAGGAGATGCAGGAGGAACCACCACTGAGGAGAGACAGGCTAGGAGCTCTTCACCACACCAATAGGGGACAAAGATGGTTCTTGGTGGTGGGGTAGTTTTTACAGAGACATGGTCTTATAAGCAGGAAGAGAAATTACTTGGATGTGTATGTCACAGGAAGCAAAACACTGCCATGAGAACATGGGAGGCTCCACCCTCTCAAGAAAACTGAAAACAAAAAGGTTTCTTCCAGCCCACTGACCTTTCTGCAGAACAACAGGTATGTAAATGTCTACAGTTTGTTCACCCCACAAGTGGATCTGTTTCACAAGAAAATCAGAAGGAGTAGGCTTCTCGAAGAATCTAGAAGATAAAAATGAAGAAATGATGTCTAGTTTCTTTTCCTCTTAAATCTTTTAGGGTTGTCATTTGTAAAGCAAAACACCCTTCTATACTGTAAGCTTGACACTGAGATATGAGGATCCAGGTTCAGATCTAGCCCAGACAGGCAAATCTAAGAGAATTTTCTCTCCAATTAAACAGCAAAAAGCTGGAAGTAGAAGTATGGCTAAGGTGATAGAATGCCAACCTTGACCAGAAAAAGGTAAGTTCTGAGTTCAAGTCCCAATACAGGCACAAAAACTTAAATAACAGCAACAAAAATGAAGGCAGCGTGGGCTAGAAAGGACCTGTGTTCACAGTCTGTGGCATTACCAAGCCTCTTAATTTAAAAAAAAAAAGAATTCTACATACACTTTCATCCCTCATTTCTTTACAAAATAAAAACTGCAGTAAAAGACATGAACAAAAATAACCAACCTAATTTGTGGGAATGAAATGAACAACTTAAGGTTTTGCCTGCCCCAGGTGGCTTTAAACCATGATCCTTAAATCTCAACCTCCTGCATAGCTAGGATTACAGGTGTGAGCTACTGGTGTGTGGCTATGAAACATTTAACACACCTGACTAGCAACATGACAGGAAATGCCCTTGTCTTTACATTAGAAAATTCAATGTGTATCTGTAGAGATCCCTGGGAGTTTCCAGAAAGCCCAGTGAACTGGTGGAAGTTCACCTGATTCCGCAGCAATACAAACGTCGTTGTGTTTCTGTTATTATCCTGTCATGGGAAAAAAAAAGTTGGGAAAAGCTTGCCATTGGAGGAGTAAGTGTATTAAGAATCAGGGAGTGGAGACCAGATGGACAGCAGAGGAACAGCTTTCCTTACAGGACTATCTTCCTCCCCATACTCCACAGTCATGGGTGTCTGCAGCCGTCCTCTTGGGATGGGCCTTCTGCTGGAGCAGCTGTAGAGGGTGATGCCCACGACAACACCAACCTTGAGAAACAAAGATCATCTCAGAAAAAGGAAGCCAACAATAGGCTCCAAGGAGAGAAGTAGGAAAGCAAAACACAGTGACGGTATTGTGACCACTTTGAAAAAGAATACACTCGACACCAGAGGGTTGCACACACAAAAAAGTGGTTTTCCTAGGTAGGGTGGCAGGATTTAGGGTGAATTTATGCTACTCTTGTTAAAATGATTAATCTTGGAAGTTGTATTAATATTGCTTTTTTTTTTTTTGCTTTAAGGGCTCATATCTGCTTATGGTAAATAATCGATGGGTATCAAAGGGGTCCAGAAGCCTGAAGAACAGCTTTGCTATCTTCCCCTCATTCCAAGGGGACACTCATGGGGAGGGTGTATTCCAAACTCTGAAATCCCTAAAATTCTCCAATGGACAGAATTTTAATGGACTGCATGTAAATGACAAGTCACTTAGATGACCAATACCCTTATGTTGGACAGGTGAATTATGTCCTTATACTGCACAGTTAGGTATACTTCTATTCTGGACTACTGGAACATTCGTTTGAATAAATAAGCAAAGCGTTTGCTTTTATCTTTCTGGGAATCTTTCTCAAACCCTCAGTGTGGGACCCTACTGAATCCAGGTGCTTGGTGTCAAAGCCCATGCTGACATTCATTCACTCATTATGCCTTCACAAGTGTTAGATGTAAAATGTTTTCGTTTGTCCTGGGGTCCCCTCACTTGTTTGACTGGTACTGTACCACTTGAGTGCCTCCAGCCCTGTCTTTTTGATGATTACTTTTTTGTCAGTTGTAGGGCTTGAACTCAGGGCCCGGGCACTGTCCCTGAGCCTCTCGTGCTCATGGCTAGCACTTTACCACTTAAGCCATAGCACTACTTCCAATTTTTGAGTGGCTAATTGGAGATAAGAGTCTCACAGGGACTTTTCTGACCAGGCAGCTTTGAACCATGATTCTCAGATCTCACCTTCCTGCGTAGCTAGGATTACAGGCATGAGCCACTGGTGCCCAGCTAATGGTTTCTTTTAAGATTTGGTTTCAAGAACAAAATGCAGTTTCTCGGCCTCAAACTTCTGTCCTACTCTCAGCCTCTCCAGTTGCTAGCATCGCAGACTTGAGCCATAGGCACCTTGGCCATGGTGTTTTAGATAACTGCACTTTTGGACATCATGAAGTCACGTTAATAGCTATTTATTGCTTTTTAGTGTGAATTAAATTCCATACCATTAGCCATCTAACAATTTCTAGCTCCCTAAAAGGTTACTTTTTCTAAAACAAATAAGCAAATATTTTATGAGCATTTTATGACAAAAATAAGGCTTTCATCATAAATTGTTCATCAGCTATTAGAAAATCTATTGGGTACCCAAGTGAGTCAGGTAGTTAGGCCTGGGCAGGGAGAATACAGAAATCTCTGGAATTCTTCCTGATTCATGGTGAGTTGGGAGCACTTGCAGAGTTTCTGAATGCTGACACCAATCAGAAAGTTCACGAAACTGCCAAATAGGATGGGCACCTGAGGCTTACATTTGTAATCCTAGCAAGGCAGCAGGTTGAGATCTGAGGATCACAGCTCAAAGCCAGCCTGGGCAGAAAAGCACACAATACTCTTATCTCCAATAACCTATTCAGAGCAAGCTAGCAATGGTTCTGTGGCTCAAGTGGTAGAACACTAGCTTTGAGCTCAGGGATAGTGCCCAGGCCCTGAGTTCAAGTCCCGGGACCAGAAAACAAACAAAATAAACCCTGCCAAATCGCTAGGACAGCTCTGCCTGACTTATCAGATCATCAAATTCAGGTCAGATGAGAGCAGATGATGGAGAGGCCTGGAGGATCCTTGAGGCCCCTTTGCAAGTTTCACCCCACTTCAACTCTGCCTTTGATTTTAGGAAAGGTAAGGCCACTGGAGGCACACATACTATACCACATGCTCTGACCTCCTCAAGTCTCGTATTCTCCAGTGGTGCCCAAAAATCCCCACAGGAAATACTGAATGGGATCACTTATCTAGGTACCTGAGAGCCCTAATTTTATTAAGAGTTTTCTAGAGAGTTCTTATCTTCCAAAAGGCATGGAGACAGCAGTGCATTGTAAGCGGCTCCTCTCTGGGAGCTAGAAAGCAAGTACAACCTAGTTTACAACCTGTCAACCTAGTTTCTCTGTTTATCTCCTAAGCCCAGTCACCACAATTTGAATTGCCATAGAAGTTGACAGTCAATACCTCTGGTACCTGCCCAGGATCCGGCACCCTTGGATAGGGGCTCTTTTTGAAGAACAGGAGTTGGCTTATGTAACATGGGCTTTGCATTTCTTCTTGAGCAAGAGTGTGCCAAGCCAGGTCACCAGGTAAATGCACCTGGACAGAGCCCAGGCTCTGAACAGAGCTCTGAAGGTTGTGATGAAGAAGGATCCAGAATTCCATCTGCCCAGTGCTCATATGGAATTGATGCTCATGGCTCAAAGAAAGACACTTCTGAAAGCAGAATATTTGCAACACAAATGAACAAACCCTGAGTTCAGACTGAGGAGAGTGACTGAGACAGCCTGAACTTAGATCAGGTTCATTTGTCCGAAAGATACGGATAGAAGATGTAATGACAAAGAATACTAAAACACAAACTGTGGTCTTTCTTTTTGGCACACCTTTCTGGGAATTTTGCTCCTTTAAATTAATCTTTTATTTTTGTTAGGGGTTCTTAACCTATCTAAACAGAGTTTAATGCCATTACACCTGAAGAGTAAAAGTTAATGTGACCGCAGTGCCTTTGGGCAAAGACCAGGGTAAAATGTGAGAAATATTTGAAAATACACTAATGTGTAACTATGATGAAGGTTATTATTTAATTTATTTTATTTTATTATGCTTGTTTGGGGCTTGAACTCAGGGCCAGGGCACTGTCCCTGAGGTTTTTGGCTCAAGGCTAGCACTCTTCCACGCTGAGCCACAATGCCATTTCTAAACTTTTGGTGATTAATTGGAGATAACAGACTCATAGCCTTCCCTATCTGGGCTGGCTTTGAACCTCAGTCCTCAGGTCTCAGCCTCTTCAGTAGCTAGGAGTACAGGTGTGAGCCACTGAAACTCAGATTATTATTAGATTTAGATGGAATATTTATTCAGTTCCTACTTTCCCAAATAGTTTGGTAACTGAAAGCTAAATAAACCAACAGGTATGTGTGGGAGGGTTGGCAGTTTGCAGAGACAACAGCCTGTCTACGAATTCACTGCTTCCTAAAAGCATTGGCCATTTCACAAGATGAGACAGAAAAACTCTGAGATAATTTCCTAAAGTTACTGTCACAGAAATAAGATTTGATATTTTGTTTTCATCAGTTATATATGTTTTAGGTTAATGCATATAATAAAGTACTTGCAGTCCTTCACATCATTTTTTTTAAAACATAGAAGAGAATGATGCTCCTAAATCAAACATCTCCCTAATTATCCCAGTGAACATCTACCAAAATATTAGGAACATTACACCATTATCACAAAACATTTAACATTGAAAATAACAATCTCCAAATACCAAAATACCATCCACTTTATTCTCAAGTAGGACTACAAAGGAAACACAGACACATGCACACACAGACACACCCACACCCATACCCACCCATAAACATGCACACACAGACACACCCACACTCATAGCCACCCATACACACACACACACACACACACACACACACAAGAAAGAACAAGACAGAGACCAGTCAAGCACACAGATGCACATGCATGCTCCTTTCTCCAAATATTTGATGCCCCAGGGCTGGGAAGGTGGCTCAGTGGTAGAGCACTTGCCTTGCATGCCTGGGGCCCTGGGTTCGATTCCTCAGCACCACATAAGCAAAAAGAAAAAAGCCGGAAGTGGCGCTGTGGCTCAAGTTGTAGAGCGCTAGCCTTGAGCTGAAGAGCTGAGGGACAGCGCCCAGGCCCAGAGTTCAGGCCCCACGACCGGACCCAAAAAAAAAAAAATATTTGATGCCTCAAACCAACTGGAGACTTTCAGCCAGAAGCCCACAAATAAAAGACCTCTAAATCTTCAGAACTATGATGTAAATAATCCTATTATCTTTATAAGGTTATTCTGCGTTGGACATTAAAAAAATGATTGCCAATGTAGGGTAACATGGGAGGGAGAAAACAGTTGTATTTTTGGTGTTGGGGGAAATACACGCCAACTATACATTGTCTAGTGAGCTCGTGCACAGCCTGCAGCTGTGTTCTTAAGGATGAATAAAACATCTCACTTACTAGCAACACATCTGAGATGATCTTCATTCCTTCTTCTTGTAGATAGTTCTCACTTGTCAAGTTTTCTTGTGTGCTGGCTTCCCAGACTCCAGCAATGAGTAGGATAAGTTCAAGACCAAGTCCTTTGTCAACCACAAATCTTTCCAAGAACTGGCCATGAGCAAGGAGTATCTGGGAGTACCTGAGAATGTGTACTGCACTAACAAAGCTTAACTACATGAAGAGAAGAGATATAAAATGAACTATTTTTTTTACATCCACAATGCATATACCTCTTTCATTATCATTGGAATTAGAATAATTGAACTTTTGGTCAACAAAATTGGATGGTCTATGTTTCCTCTCTGAAAATTGTTTTCACTCATGAAATAACTAAGGAAACCAAGGACCCCAGCAGTCCTTTGTGCATTGATATTTGGTTTGAATGTTAAAAGCCATTTTACCAATTCTTTTGCAAGTCCTTCTATGGCCTTCTCTGTTCCCATCAGCCACTTCAATTCTATGCTTAGCTACAATGAACTCTTTCCTTTTCCTTTTTCTTTTTCTTTTTTTCCCAGTCATGGGGCTTGAACTCTGGGCCTGGGCGTTGTCCCTCAGCTCTTCAGCTCAAGGCTAGTGCTCTACCACTTTGAGCCACAGCACCACTTCCTGTTTTCTGGTGGTTAATTGGAGATAAGACTTTCACAGACTTTGCTGCCCGGGCTGGCTTTGAACCACGATCCTCAGATATCAGCCTCCTGAGTAGCTGGAATTACAGGCATGAGCCACCAGTCGTACATTTTTAAGTAAGAACATATTATGATCATGTTTCACAGTAAAGTCAGAAGATAGATGTACCTCAAATAAAGATTGTAAGACAGAAGCATTGATTATAAGACAGAAGCTAGAATAAAGTCATATACAAGTTGCCTTGAGTAAAATGAGTTCTTCTCTCATATCTCTGAAGATTTCATGGGAAACGTAGCATGAGAAATAAAATTGTCCCACAGGAAAAATAACCTATTTCATACTAAGAGTAGGAAAAACACTACCTTCACCAAAATGTTCACAGCATGGCTACTGCTTTTTTTAAAAAAAAAATCAGTTTCTACTTTGAGTTTCCAAAATTCTATACACAGGAATAAAATTCTCCAGCCATATTCTGAAGTAAAAAAAAAAATCACCATTCTAATGAATTCTTAGAAGAAAATTGTATTTCAATCTAAATGTCAAAATATAACTCTGGAAAGTTCTATTCTTAAGAACTGGCCATTCAAAATTATGAAGTAAAAAAAGCAGAAAAAGTACATTTGCAAATAAATAGCACTTACCTTATGAGGAAGACTTACGAGGTCTCTTAATAAAAGAATAGAATCAATTATTTCTTCCTGATGGCACAAACAAGGAAAGTAAAAGGAGTGGGGGCGGGGGAGAAAAGGAAGAAGATCTTTTTAGTTTAGAGCAGACTTTATGCTATTCACCTAAGACACTACCTGAATGCAAGCCTTTCTCTTGCAAGGCTCAAGTTTTCCTTCCAGCCTAATATTTCTCCTCCTGTGTGTCCCCAGCCAACCTCACCATATTCCATTAGGAAACTGATATGATAGAGGAGAAAAGAGGACAGAACCAAATGGAACTTGGAAAGGGGTCAGAGAGAATAACAAGAGAAAGAAAACCACTCAAGCAACATATTTTTTCTCTCTTTCCTTCTTTCTCACATCTTTTTCTTTCTTACTTATTTTTTTGCTTTTCCTTCCTTTCTTCTTCCTCCCTCCCTCCTTCCTCCCTCCCTTCCTCCCTCCCTCCATCTCCCATCTCTTCTTCCCTCCCTTCCTTCCTTCCTTTCTTCCTTTGACTTTTAACATTGTAGGGTAGTGTTAACAGGATAGTAGCAGATTGTATTTATATAATCTTACTTGCAGAAACATCAGTAGAATTATCTGCAACGCTGAATTACTTGTATTGCTTTCTTTTTCATAAGCCAGTGACACTGATTTGCAAGACATCTCAGCAAGTAAGAGAAATTGTGGCTCCTTCCTTGCTTTTGTTTCATAAGCATATCCACATGCCAGGGAGCTGACCATGTGACAGAGAGCCAACCATGTGCCAGGGAGCCGACCATGTACCAGGGGCCAACTGGTCTCAGACCTCACTACTTTATGCAAGTTTATAGACGGTTTACCTTACCCTATTCTGGGCCATACCTGATCTGTAAACACTAATTTGCACAAGGAAGAAATTAACACATCTTGCGTTTGCAACCACTGGCCACATGAAGTACTTCTGTTCTCCTTAGACAAACGTCTCAGGATTCCAGTGATCATGGTGATGAAGTTCCTTGCTTCCCTGTGACTCCCCATCAGCTGGAGGGTAGACAAGCTGTTCAGGCTGGAATTATATCTGAAGGAAACACCAGATGTTATCAAGGTTAAATACACACACACACACACACACACACACGCACGCACGCATCTCAAAACCATTCATCCTTCCTGTCAAGGGTTAAGGAGAATTTATTCATCTTAAGTGGATAAATGAAGAAATCAAATAATACAGAATGTTCTTCTACACAGAAAAACTCTAAATAGACACAGTACAGTCTCACACCAAAGTCCTACAGGGTACAAAGAAGCCAAACAGGATATTGACATATCTGCCAAGGCAAATAAAGGAGTGTGGTCTATACCTGTCACCGTAACTACTCAGGAGGCTGAGATCTGAGGATCATAGATTGAAGGCAGCTTGGGTAGGAATGGCTGTGAGACTCTTATCTCCAATTAACAACCAAAAAAAGCCAGAAGTGGTAGAGTACTAGCCTTGAGCAAAAAAAGCAAAGGGAACTAGGAGGAAGGCACAGAATCAGAGGGAAACGGGGAAAAATACAACAGAGGAGCCCATCAACTGCATTGTACATTGGTGAAAATTAACTAAGCAACTCAAGATGGAAGGGAGGGAATGAGAGGGAACAGCTTACACTAAGCAAAAGGAAAGAAATGTACATATCACCCAATTTGGAAGAAATAGTTGTATTGTCAAAGCTTACAGAATCCACAAACTTTAAAGACCATGATAATGACAATTGAAATGCCTTGTGACTTTAACTAAGTATCACTTTCTCACAATGCTGTGAAATTTATGTAATCACTTAATCTCAATAAAAAATTATTTAAAAAAAAGCTAAGGGAAAAAAACATTCCCAGTTCAAGCCCCAGTACCAGTACAAAAAAGAAAGAAAGAAAGGAAGGAAGGAAGAAGGGAGGGAGGGAAGGAGGGAGGGAGGGAAGAAGGGAGGGAGGGAAGAAAGGAGGGAGGGAAGGAAGGAAGGATAGGCCCTGTATATGTAAATCAGAAAATGAGGGACAGAGAAAATTCATAACTAATAATACCATCAATAACCAATAGAACAATGATGCAGAAAAATCAATCTCTCTCTGTATCTGTCTATCTGTGTCAAACAGAACTAGACCAAACATCCATAAACCACTTTTACTGAACAAAAGTAGAACATACATTCTCAAGTACACATAAAAATTTTTAGCCTATATTATATTATAGGACATTAGACAAAGTATGTTCTCTGATTATAGCATTAAATTTGAAATCATAAGATGAAAATTTGGCAAATGTGCAAATCTGTGAAAAATAAACAATACACTTTTCAATAATTAATGGCTCAAAATAGCAATAGAAAAGGACATTATCAAATACCTTGAAACTAACAAATGAAAACACAACACCCCAAACTATATGGGATGGAGTGAAAGCAATGCTGGAAGGAACTTTATAGCTGTAAAGTATATAAAGAAAATAAACAATGCAGGCATCAGTGGCTCAGGCCTATAATCCTAGCTACTCAAGGAGGCTGAGATCTGAGGAGAGCAGTTCAAAGCCAGCCCAGGCAAGGAAGTCCATGAGACTCTTATTTCCAACAAACTAATCAGAAAAAGCTATGACTCTAGTGGTAGAGTTCTAGCCTTGAGCAAAAGAAGCTGAAGGTTAGTGACCAGGCCCTGAATTAAAACTTTAGGACTGTGATGATGGCACAAAAAGAAAAGAACTTAATTACTAAAATAACCACACAGAATAAAAAGGTTTATGACAGAATACTGTTTTTGAAGAACAGAAAATCTTGTACAACAAAAGATTAAAGAATGTTGATGAAGTGGAAAAAAATCCCAAAATGATATAAGCTACTCAAACCAACTCAGAAAGAAATTTAAAACAGTGAATACTGATGAGACTGAGTAAGTAATTATAAAACTACCACAAAAAATGCCAGACCCAGATCATGTCACTGGTAGTTTGTATGCAGTGTTTAAAGGAGAATTGACAGCTAGTTTCCACAAAATCTTTGAATTATTAGAAAACAGAGCACTCACTTTGGAAATATCATGATATATCCATACAATAAATATTTAGCAATACAAAAAAGATGGTAGGAATTCATAAATTCATATCATACATGTAACTCAAAACTTTTACATATTAAATGAAAGACAGTTACTGAAGATCACATTTCGCATCATTCCACTGATGTGAAATATCTTGACTAGAGAAACACGTAGTAGATCAGTAGAGGGATGTGTGTGTGTGTGTGTGTGTGTGTGTGTGAGAGAGAGAGAGAGAGACAGAGACAGAGACAGAGACAGAGACAGAGACAGAGAAGAGAGAGACAGAAAGCTGGTACTATCTTGAACTCAAGGCTTTACAATCTGGTTGTCTTTTTCACTCAAGGTGTCATTCTACCACTTAAACCACCCCTACACTTCCAAGATTAGTTATTTGGGGCTAGAATGAGGAAACTGGGTGGTTGGGGGGACAAGACTGACTGCTAAGGAATACAAACCATTGTGATCCTGAAAATGTGAAAGTTTGCACAATTCTGTAAGTATACAAAGAAGTACACAACATTGTACTGGATGGACAATCTAGTTTGTAAAAGTGCCTCAGCAAAACTGCTTTAAAAAAAAACAACAGGGCATCAGTGGCTCACACCTGTAATCCTAGCTACTCAGGAGGCTGAGAATTGAGGATGGCAATTCAAAGCCAGCCTGGCAGGAAAGTCAGTGATACTCATCTCCAATAAACTGTCAAAGAGCTGCAAGTGAAGCTGTGGCTCAAGTGGTAGAGAACTAGCCTTGACCAAAACAAGCTCAGGGACAATGCCCAGGCCCTGAGTTCAAGCTCTAGGACTGGCACAAAGATAAAGAAAACCTCTTAACCCACTGCACTGCCATCTCCCAGGGAAACACAAACACTGCTCTAGTATGGATGACTGTGGTGGTGTGGTACTCACAGGTCCTGGCTGAGGCAGCTGTTCCCGTGGAAACGGGGTATCACGGTCACTGTTGCAGTGCATGGCTGCACCCTGGAGCCTTTTCCATCTGTGATCTCGGTGGAAACCATGACTGTGAGGAAGGAGGACAGGGAGAGTCATCCTGGGCTTTACTTACGGAGATGCCTCTTCCTGCACACTCAGCAGTGCCTTAGCCTGGGCAAGAGCAGGCTTGCTCCCAACCAGGTTCCCAGAGCAGGAAATCACAGGATGGATAACATCCCACCAAAGGTTGGGGTGACATTGTAAGCAGTCCCTAAATGATGTCAACAGACTTCATAGGCCTAGAAGATGGTGAAAAATAACTCTGATAGAGGGGACGTCAGTAGATGGGGAATGGCAGGAAGTGGCTAGTCTGAAAAGCTTCAAGAAGTGACTGTTGAGGGAGGTCTTCCTGTCTCAGATGCACCTTCACCAGGAAGACGGACACCGTGGCCCCTCATCTTTATCCCTCTTTCATACTGCCCCAGAGATCAGTGGGACTTTCCCACCCCCAATCCCTGCACACAATGCAGTGCCTTCACGTCTCAAAGCAGCGGGACTAGACAGTTATAAGACTGAAACCTCCAAAACCAGGAGCCAAGATAATCTTTCTTTTCTCTTTTTGTGCTAGTCCTGGGGCTGGAACTCAGGACCTCAGGAACTCAGCTCTACTTCTGGCTTTTCAGTTGTTAACTGGAGATGAATGGTATTTCTTGTGGACTTTCCTGCCGACCTAGCTTCAAACTGCAGTTCTTAGATCTCAGCCTCCTAAGTAGCTAGGATTATAGGAGTGAGCCACCGGCATTACAACTTGCCAACTCAACAATCCTTTACCCCACATTTTCTCTTTTTTGAGGGGGGGAACGCCTTGATTTTATTTAATCTATAATACGTTCAAGATTCACCAAAGAGAATATATTTAATTAGGAAACAAGAAATATCAAAAACATCCTTTGGCATCTTAATGATTATGTTATATTTCATATAAAATATAAGATATAGAAATGCCTAGCTATGGATGATATTCCTAATGCTTTTTTTTTCCCACTAAGGGCAGATAAAAAAAAAGACAAAACATCAAACTCAAGGTGAATAAACAATTTCAATTTTTCAGCACATAGTTTCAACAATGTTTAGTTTTTATAAACCAGGAGAAAACAGCAAGCGGGCATAGCACATGGCCACTATCCAATTATGACTTACCTTTGTAACTGTCCAAGGGCTCACCAGCTGGCAGTGCAAAGTAATAATGGGTATCTCTTCCACGGTACAGAGTGTGTTTGGAGGCATTTCCAAGCTGGTAACTAAATTCATAGTGAAAGTCCTATCATTTGATCCATGGAGAGCAAAAACATAGAGTGGTTGAACATACAATGATTGGCATCATCCCTAAACATTCACCTGCACCTGAGGACATATGTTGCAACCAGGAACAAGGTAAATATTGGTCCCTGATTTCCTATCTGTAGGACTCCTGTCTTTTAGACCAACAATTTCTCCCCCAAAGCAGGATTCCTCCCTCAGGGTCCACTAGATAGCTCTCCTTTCCCTCAAGTCCCCCAACAGCCGGAAATCAGACAGTCTTCCCTCCACTGAGGATGAAGAGATGTACTGAAAGGCCTGATCCAGACACCTGAGCAGCAGAAAGGAGATGTGGGGGCCCAGGGTTTAAAAGCAAAAGTTATTAAATGAGGCCTGGCCGTTCCTACAAACAAGGGCAAGCTTCAAAAGGAATAACATGGGAAGGACAGAAGGGCAGAAATGGGAGGTGTCCACCGGTCCACAGCAAGAAGAGGAAAATGGTGCCAGGATTCCAATATGGCAGCTCCCACTTGGCCTGTCATCTGACCGCCAGAGAGAGCACTGGACCCTCTACACTCAACCTCCTCTCAAATCCTCACAAAGACCCTGTGCAAAAACCCACAGAGACATTCTCCAGTGCTCAACTTAGGAGAGGTGGAATTCAGACTAGAGACATGCTTTGGGATAAAGCTGAGCCTCCTCATCCCATCCCCAATGTCCTGTGCATGCAGTGTTAGCTGAGATCAAGTGCCCCAGGGGGACTTCCAGGGAGCAAGTCCTCCCCTTCCTTCTGAGTGAGGGGTTCTCTGTACCCCTATTGCTAGTGTGGCTACTTTCTACATCAACTGCAGGCCCACAGCCTTCACAGATGGGGAAGGCCAAATTGGCCTTCTGTGCCTACTGCTTGCTGTGTGGATCTGGCTGCAACTTCTGACAAAGCTGAACAGTTTCAGGACAAACAAGAGCTGTCACATACCGGATTCACTGACAGGCAGAAAACACTAAAGATGGTCTGTGCCTCAAGACCATGGTGGGGCCATATCTGGCAGGCCATGTCTTGTGGAGTCGGGTTGACTGTGAAGTAGAGCTGAGCTCGGCCTCGTAAGCCATGCTTGGAAGCTAAGAGAGACAAGATGGAGATTTTAGCCATGATGGAGGACAACAGTGGCAGAGGATTAATTTTTTTTGGGGGGGTCGGTCGTGGGGCCTGAACTCTGGGCCTAGGCACTGTCCCTCAGCTCTTCAGCTCAAGGCTAGTGCTCTACCACTTGAGCCACAGTGCCACTTCTGGCTTTTTCTGCTTATGTGGTACTAAGGAATTGAACCCAGGGCCTCATGCATGCAAGGCAAGCACTCTACCCCTGAGCTCCTTCCCAGCCCCCAGAGGATTAAATGTGATCACAAGAATTTTTTCCTGCTGACTCAGACAGATGCCCATAGTGTTTTGGTACCTTGGGGTGTAAGTATGTGCTGGGGATCCACTGAGCCCTGGAGAATGGGAGCACTAAGTGGGAAAACCAATTTTCCAGACCCTGAGAAATAAAAGTAGACAAGGGAGACTAATTTCCTACTCAGGAGCCAGACAAAAATCCCCCTAACAGAGACCAAAAATCTCTGGGAAGAAGACCCCAAGGATGCATGGAGCACACATTAACCTTCCTCTGAGATTTGTTTAACACCTCAGTCTCACACATACTAGGACAGATGAGTTACATTTATAGCATGGATATAATTTTGTATCTTCTCTTATCAGTGGTATTCTCATCATAAACATTTTCTGTGCTACCCTATAGTAACATGGATGGAAGCAATCATCTAAATCACTGTTGTGAGTAACAGTGTGATATTCCACTGGGCAGATGCATCCCAATCTGCATGACTATTCCTCCCCGATGATGACTTACTGCTTTCTACTTCCTGCTATTACTAGCCACTCACCGATGATTATTCTCTTTTTTTTTTTTTTGGAGGGGCGGGGTGGTCCGGTCGTGGGGCCTGAACTCTGGGCCTGGGCACTGTCTCTCAGCTCTTCAGCTCAAGGCTAGCGCTCTACCACTTGAGCCACAGCACCACTTCCCACTTTTTTCTTTTCGCTTATGTGATGCTGAGGAATCGAACCCAGGGCCTCATGCCTGCAAGGCAAGCGCTCTACCACTGAGCCACCTTCCCAGCCCCCGATGATTATTCTCATACGTAAAGTGTTCTAAACTTTTAGTGTATTTTTCTTGAGATGAGCTATGGGATGGAGATTTATGTGTCAATTTGTTAAAAATCTTGGTGACAATTGCCACCACACACAGCACCTCTGTTTAGTGCTAGGGTCTGACCAGACATTGTTCATGTGTTAAGCTATCTGCCCCCAGATAAACCACAGAAAACAGATCCTTTAATACAATACAACCCAAGAGGAAAGAGTGAGTAATTCTACCTGGATGGTCAGGAAAATCTATTCAAAAGCAGATTTAACCAATTTAAGCAGGCACTCCTGGGGTTCAGTGGTCAAGAAGGGACATAGAGATGTGAATGGGCATTTGCCAAAATAACCACAAGGGAAGACAGATCTGCAGGCCACAGGGTGATCTATGCAGTAAGAAAAGCAAGGTTGTTGGGGGCACAGCAGGAGGAAGTTGGGTGGTGGGACACGTGGAGACCAAGCTGAACTCAGGTAGCCAAGCTGAACTGAACCTGGAGCTATAGACAGGCTCTCAAGAGGCTCCAGTTCCAATGAAGAACATGGCTAATCTAAAGGCCTTCAGTTGTTACTTGAACAGATTTCAGAGGCAAGGGAGAAAGAAGTCCAGCCCAAGCACAAAGATGTTTGTCAAAACAAAAGCAATCATTAATCTTCTTCTGGCACAAGCAGGGGCCTAGGGCTTTGTGCGCACACTGTGGCTGTGCAGGGAACAAGCAGATATTCCCAGCACAGAAAATCCAGGTCTTTAGTGATTATATAGAATCCCAGTTTCAGACAAAATTTATCCCTGTGCTCCTTCTTCAGGAGATGGACACACACACACACACACACACACACACACACACACACACGATGTAAAACTGGAAGTGTACAGTGGGTTGTGGTTTGTGCAGTTGTCAGCAAGATAGGACTTCACTTTATAGCCCAGGTTAGCTTTGAACTCTCGATCCTCCTGTTTCAGTCTTATGAATGTTAAGATTCCAGGTATGTGTCACTACACCTGGTTTATGGTAGATTTTAATAAATGTAAAAAAAATGTGGTCACCAAAGCAAACTTGTCTATAAACGTAATTGCTACATCCTCTGTTCTTCTTATGAAATGGAGAGAAATGTCTCAAAGTTACCCAAAAGGATGATCCTTAGATTGTGTCATGATATAAGTGTAAGGGATGTGAGGGCCCGTGCAGGGTGGCTGTGCAAGTGAAGTCAGACCCACACCAACCACACAGAACAGTGCAATGACACCTGGCTAAACAGAAAGGGATTACAGATGGATTCTCACAAAATGAATCAATTTATCAAGGTTTTTGTTTTTGTTTATTTTGGTCGGTTGTGAGGCTTGAACTCTGGGCTTGGGCACTGTTCCTGAGCTCTTCAGCTCAAGGTTTGCACTCTACCATTTGAGCCACAGTGCCACTTCTGGCCTTTTCTGCTTATGTGGTGCTGAGGAATCAAACCCAGGGCCTCATGCATGCAAGGCAAGCACTACCACTGAGCCACCTTCACAGGCAATTTTATCAAGTTTTATAATACAAAATGTACAATTTTGTTTTATTTATTTATTTTTTTGCCAGTCTTGGAGCTTGAACTCAGGGCCTAGGCACTGTCCCTGAGCTTTTCTTACTGAAGGCTAGTTCTTTGACACTTGAGTCACAGTGCCACTTCTGGCCTTTTCTGTTTATGTAGTCCTGAGGAATCAAACCCAGGGCTTCATGCATGCTAAGCAAGCACTCTATCACTAAGCCACATTCCCAGCCCTACAATTTTTTAAATTTATTTTTTGCCAGTTCAGGGGCTTGAACTCAGGACCTGGGCACTGTCCTCAAGCTTCTTTTGCTCAAGGCTAGCACTCTATCACTTGAGCCATAGTGCTACTTCTGGCTTTTTCTGTTTATGTGGTGCTGAGGAATCAAACCTAGGGCTTCATGCATGCTAGGCAAGCACTCTACCACTGAGCCACCTTCCCAGTCTCAACAAAATGTACAATTTTAAATGGCAACGTACAATTTTAAATGGCAACTTTTCAGCCTTTATTCTGTATACCCTGTGTGTGTGTGTGTGTGTGTGTGTGTGTGTGTGTGTGTGTGTGTGTGTCTACTGGGGCTTAAAGTCAGAGCCTCAGTCTCACTGAGCTATGTCTGCTCAAGGCTAGTGCTCTGCCATTTAAACCACACTCCCACATCTGGCTTGTTGAAGGTGAATTGGAGATAACAGTCTCATTGACTTTTGTGTGTCTCAACTGGCTTTGAGTCACAATCCTCAGATCTCAGTCTCCTGAATAGCTAGGGTTACAGGCATGAGTCATCAGTGCTGGCAATTCCTAAACATGCTCCTGATTCCATGAGGAAAAGCAAAATGCAGTAACACAACCATGACCTGCTGATGCCCTCTGGTCAAAGGCAATAGTGAGGGAAGGTAGGCAGAAGACATGGGGAAAGTCAGGGACCACAAAATTTCTGGAATAGGAGAAAGCGACGATCATTTTCTTGAAAAGCATATGAGTTATGACCAAACCTTTACGATCCCCTAACACCAGACTCAACTGGGCAAGTAACATACCCACAGATGCTTGTAGAACGTATGTCTCTCCACTGCTCAGGGAGTAGGGCTTTATCGTCACAGATGATCCTGTGATACCTATAAAAGACGGGTGGCCACATAAAAATAATGGTCAGTGGACTCTGAGGGGTAGGAAGGCAAGCACAATACTGGGGGTGGGTTCCCAATTCTATATTCTGTGTCCTGGTGCTCTGTGGAACTGTTGAGGTCTGCTGATTTCTGTCTTCCCTGAAAAGCTGAAATCCAATCCCTGTACACTCCCACCCCCACCCCAGCCCCACCAGCTCAACAGAAGCAACATTTGGAGGTGAACCTATCAGTCTGAGCTCAGAAATGTCAGACTTCCCAAAAGACTGCCGCAAGATCTTATTTTCTCTGTCTATAGTAGGTTCCATGTTCAGTTTTGCTGTTTGTGCATTTAACTATAAATTATGATTAAGAGATGCTGAAACTATTTGCAAACTTTTTGGAATGTTGGCTATTATAAACATGCTTAATCTGACCATTGCTGCTTCTTCCAAGAGCGGGACTACTTCCTCAGGAGGTAAAGTCTGGCTCTGTACTGCTTTCCTTGACTTAGGGAGACATCCAGAACACGAGAGCCAACATACACAGGGATAACTTTTAAACATCATCTCTTTAAAACAGTACCTGCCAAAATGTCTCAAGGAAGGAGTGGGGAGGAAATCACCTCAATATGAAATCTTTAACAGTGGTGAGCTAACCACAGCAACTCAACCAAGTGGTTCCTGCTGGGGAACACTGGTTAGAAACCCATTCCTCAGAGGAAGCATCATTCATGTGAGTGGTTCATCTGCCCAATGAGAGGCCATCCAGATGGTGGACCCTGAAGGGGCTAGCCTCCAGGCAGGCATGCTGGTCTACAGACAGGGCCTCCTGGGACATCCAAAACAAACACTACTCCGAGTAAAGGGGTTGTCCCCAGGGGGACAAATGCAAGGAGAAGAGGTTAGATGGCTCCAAATATCTGTGTGCTGCTAAAATGGAAGTTTCAGGAGAAAAGGAGGACCAATATCCAGTCTCCTTTGGCACTGCTATGAATTGCAGGATACCTAAAGCAAGCTCATACCTGATGCTGTGTAGCCTTGGAAAACAGCGGGTCTGACCTGGGTCTTGAGCCAGTCGGTCATGAGAACTGGCCCTGCTCTGCTTGGGGAGAGGAAGGGACCCAGCAGGTTGTCCCCATCGTAGGGGTTCCCCTCAGCCTGAGAGCTTGGTCCTTGTCCAGGGGGGCTGATATTGTTCCCTAAGAAGACAAACCAAGGCCATGGATGATAAACAAGACGCAGTCTTCCCGAAACATGAACAATTCGATATTAATGGTGATCACTATTGCTGGACATATTATAGATAAAATAATGACTTTACCAATTCAACAGAGCCAATATGTTATCATATACTTTGTCAGCCAATTGTGTGTTCCTTTCTGCTGCTGATTAGTTGATAAGTACTTTTTATGTTTTAACATTGTGTCTGGGGACTGGAGACTCTGAGAATCAGATCAACTAAATCCTTATAGCCTGGGATATAATAGAGAGGAAGTTAAACAAACAAACAAGTAATGCAAAGTCAGGTGATGGTAAATGCTGGGGGTGGGGGGGTTAGAAAGCAGAGAAAGAGATCCTGTCCAGTACAACAGAAGCGCAAACACAAGAAGTGGGGGACAAGCCCCTGCCTAAGAAGAAACTACAGAGCAGAGATGAGAATGAGCTCTGGGGAGATCTGAAGAAAGACGTCTCCAGGCTGAACAAAAAAGCCAAACACCATGGAGCCATGTTCTGCGGGGGGATCACGCAGCCTTGACCCTGCCCTTGGAGGGAAGCTGCTGGAGGGACCACCAGGGCAGCCTGGGAGAAGGGACTGCCTCATTCATGACAGCAAAGTTCTCACGTGGCTGTAGGGGAGTAACTTCAGGCAGCAGGAACAAGTAGGGAGACGGAGGCTACCACGTAGCCTGAGGAAGAGTGCAGGCTTGATGGGGCTAAGGTAAGAAGACCAAGAAAGCATGGTTCAGGTGGTAGAGGACCAGAATTGAGTGAAAAAAAGGCAAGTAAGAGAGGCCCTGAATTCAAGTCCCAGTACCTGCACATATACACACACAAAGAAGACCAATTTAAGAGTTTGAATAATGGACATTGAAAGAAGATATCATGCAAAGACAAGCCACTGTTGGGGGCCCAGAATGATTCCTATCAAGAAAGGTCATGTTATCAATAGCATGGCATCCCTCGTTCTTCATCCATTCAGTAGTATTACGGAAACACCATGAGTGTAAACATGATTATACTGTAAAACTTCTAAAACATTCTGTATGGATGATCTTTTGATATCCCCAACCAATCCTAAACCCAAATTGGCACCAAAAGTAAATTTCTGGTGGAGGCCTCGAGGGCTAGTCAATCCTTCACGACAGCCAGGGTCTATCCATGGATCAATCTTGGAAATGCAAACTGTCAGAGCCACAGCCAGAGTTTCTATCCTGGCTGAGACCACTGGAATTATTCCTATTAGCAAATTCTAATCTACCTGCAGCCTCCCTGAAAGACCCCCACTAAGGCTAGGCCTCAGCTCTCCCTCACTCCTGTCTTCTGCCTCCTGACCATTCTCAGGTACCCCCTCCAGGCCCTATCTGGTGGGCTGCTCCTGTCTCCACAATCTGGGAGTATAATAGACTGCTTTTCTGAGTCTCTTCTCGGTCTCATCACACAGGAAGGAGCATGGGGAGGGCCAGAGAAGCTGTAAAGGTAGAGACAGTTGAAGAGGACCATCAAAGAAAATACGGCAGCAAATTAGAGGAATGACACATCCACTTACTAGTCAATACACTCCCACACAAATCAATCTACTAAGTCACTTAGTAGATGAACCATTTTCTGATGATCTACCTTCTCACTAGACAGATCCATTATTCACACATTGCCCATCTATGCTCTACACATCAATCTCTCACTCCTGTTCACCTGATGAACCAACAAATCATCCTCTGATCATCTATTCCTCCAGCTATGGACTTGTTGCATGCTGATGCAGTGGGCGTTGAGACCATTCTGGGGACACCAATGTAAGCTAGCCATAAAAACTTTCTTTAAAGGGACAGACACAGGTAAACAGGATCTGACCAGTTGCCACAGGCAGATGGGATGGACTATGCAATGTGGGATTTGGGGAGGCTCGGGTCTGAGATGTGCATAAATCAGAGTCAGAAGTGAGAGTCTGGGCTAGCCTGTCATCCTTTAACTCTGGTGAGCACCAGTTGCTTTGGTATAAGGGAGAAGCATGGTGAACTGGGATTTCAGAAGTGGGTGTGCAGAAGGCGGAGGCATAAAGCCCTCCTGGACAGGGAGAGAAATCACAGGCGGAGGAGTCACCTGGCTGTCTTCCCCTGGATGGCACTGCTTCTTGGATGTCGCTGTAATAAGCTTCAAAATCTGTTATGAGAAGACAGAATAACAATGTGTTTTTTTAAAATTCTTTTTATGTCCTTACTGAAGCTTGAATTCTGAGTCTTACGCACTTGCTTGGCTTTTTTATTTTTAGGTGCTGGTACTGGGGCTTGAACTAGGGCCGGGCACTGTCCCTGAGGTTTTGTGCTCAAGGCTAGTGCTCTACCCCTTGAGCTACAGCTCCACTTCTGGCTTTTTAGTGTTTAATTGGAGATATGAGTCCCATAGACTTTCTTGCATGGGCTGATTTCGAACCATGATCCTCAGCTGTTTCTGCCTATTGAGTTTCTAGGATTATAGGCATGACCCATCAGCTCCCAGCGTCTTACTTGGCTTTTTCACTCAAGGCTGGTGCTCTACCACTTGAGCCACACCCCTTACTTCCAGATTTTTGCTGATTAATTGGAGATAAGAGTCTCACAGACTTCTTCCCATCCTGGCTTTGAATTGAGATCCTCTGATCAAAGCCTCCTGAGCAGCTAGGATGACAGGCATGAGCTGCCAGTGCCAAACTCAGTCATATTCCATTTTAAATCAAATTAGCATGGGCTGGGAAGGTGACTCAGTGGCAGAGTGCTTGCCTTGCATGCCTGAGGCCCTCGGTTCAATTCTTCAGTACCACAGAAGCAGAAAAAGCCAGGAGGGGTGCTGTGGCTCAAGTGGTAGAGCGCTAGCCTTGAGCTGAAGAGCTGAGGGACAGCAACCAGGCCCAGAGTTCAGACCCCATGACTTACCAAAAATGAGGACTATGAAACCAGCTCTCTCTACAGTAGGTGAGAGTTTAAATCTGACCTACCAGACTTTCTCTTTCAGAGGCTGCCCTGGTGCTAAACTATAAGAACAGCGTGTACAGCTGGTGATACTTACCATCCAGGGCAGGGGAGATGCTGGGCTGAGGCCAGCTTCCCTCCGCCAGGGACCCTGTCTCTGGGCTCTGCAGCTCATCCTCAGGAGACTCTGCTGGGGCCATGGTATCACCACCAGCAGGAAGATAGTAGCCATCTTTCATGGGCATGCTCTCTGTGACTGAAATGATGGGCGGAGCCAGGGTGGAGAGTGAAGGCCCCAGCCAGGACAGTGTGGGTCTTCCATTACCATCTGCCATGCTTGGCTCTGCAGCCAGTAGATTGGACTCTGATGACTTCAAAACGGCCTCAAGGGCTGAGGCACCCAGCAGCCCCACGGTGCTACAAAAGGGAACTTTGACACAGACAGGACAGTGTTAAAAATTCTGGACCAACCATCTGTTTTCAAAAGTAGACAGGTTGAAAGAGCATGTCTGCTTTAAAGCAAACCAAGTGGGACTTAGGCAATAAAGGGCGTGATCGCCACCTGGTGGTGTGGAGACCAACACTGGACACAACCAATACCTGGGAAGAGGAAGTCAAAGCTCTTCCCTCTGGAATTTGCTTTCCCAGGTTCCATACACACACTCGTAAGGCTTGGCAGGGCATCTGCACCCCAGCATGGGTGACTCTGGTATATTATAGCAACAATTTGGGGATTAAGAAGTTTCTCCTGATTTTCACTCTCTTACATGATAATAAGAATCTAGTACAATACTTCTAAAAGTTATTGTTAGCATTTATGGCAAAGAGTCTACAGCAAAATAACAACAAAAGCCATGGACATATAAATGATCTTCAATACTGTCAACTATAGCTTTAGGCCATGGGGAAGCCCAATTCTTTGAGATACATTCACCTTGGGCAATCACTGGCTTTGGTGAAATTTAACCATGGGATACGTTTCCTTTACAAGATTCTCTAAACTATGCAGCTTGAGCCCTGATCTGGTAAATTTTAATTTAGTTACAAGAATTTGGGGATGTGTCTCCTGCAATGAAAGATATGGTTGCACTTGGCATCTATGTTTCCTAGCTGCTGTGCTCAAAGATCTGCTTAGGAATCTTGCCCCACTGAATGGATTGAAAAGACGCGGCAGGTGGCCAGCAGGGGTTGGTAGGCACAATGGTGTGGAATTATTGCCTGGAATTAGAGACAAAGCTCCTCTGTTTACCATCAGAGCTACTTCCCTGAGCACAGTCACCACCATGGGAAGGGGGGGCTTCATCTCGATTCTGGTTACCCATAAGCGCTCACTGCAACAAGGAACACTGAAACAGTCCTTCTTTCTAGCCCCAATACCACTCTATGATGCCGTAGGAGAAAGGAACAAAAATGGGACAAGAACAAGGTCACAAAATGCTTAATCTGGGCAAACATGATACCTGAAGTCCCCAAGGTCATTCTGACACAGGGCAGCAAGTCTCACCAAAGAGAGAATAAATAATCCTGACCCTGACAAGAAGATAATGTGATATGTATATGTATAACACACACACACACACAAGTCACTCATCCATCAGAATATCCATCAGACATAATTTCATGTCATTTTCAGGAACCTGGAAAAAATTAAGTAAGTCAGGATCATGAAGTAAATCAGGCTCAGAGAGACAAAGGGCACATGTTTTATCTCATATATGGAAATTATATCTAAATTATAAACACATATGAAAACATACATGGGGTCACTGACTAAAGTATGGTCTATACAGAGGAAGACTGCAGCGTTGTAACAAAATGAATACCTAGCAAAATGATTACCAGGAAGCTGAAATATGTGTACTCTGAAGCGGGAAAAGACGGGTGGGAATAGATAATGAGAGAGAGAAAGCATGGGCAGTCATAATAGTCAATGTCCCTGTGTGAAAATGGAACCAGGTAACTTGAGGAGAGTGGTGGGTTGGGAGAGAGGAGGAAAGAAGGAAGAGGTGACACTGAACAAATGCATTATTAAATTGAGGTAAACTCCCTTGCACAACTACTTAAAGATAATTTATAAATAAATAAAATAAAAAAAGAATCCTGGCAACAGCCCTTCCTGCTCACTGCAATTCTGGATTGGATTCTATTGCATCAGCAGTGGCTTACCCACACCCTGGGCTATGCCTGTCAGATATTGCACTTGTAACCAGTTTGCTGCAAAACTCTCTTGTTCTTTACCCACCCCAGTACTGTTTTGGGAGAACTTATCCTGGACAACTGGAATGAGTGTATTCTTCCCAGGTGGCCATCCTCATTTGGGTTTGAAACCAGGCTTTGTTCCCACAATTGGTGTGCCTCAACTTGCCTTTGAGATTAACAAGCAAGACTCCTATCTTTCATCCAAGAAAACAGTTACCAGCTGCTGACACTTTCCTGCAGGTAGTGCAGGGTGAGGACCACAATGAGGCCATCACCTGTGCAGCCTCCCCAAAGGATGGCGATCTTGAGGGGTTATGCAGAGACAGATTCCGTTTCCCCTACTTGACTCTAATGACACAGATCACTTCCATGATTCTCCCCAACAGTGATTTCTTCCTCTCTGCAAGCAGGCATGCGAGCTGTTCTGCAGCCACATTAGCTGGCGTCCTTGATCAATTCAGTTCCCACACTGTCTACCTGGAGGTAGCTATCACACAAGGGGTAGACATCTAGCTGTGACACATCACACAGGTTGAGGGTTCATCCCCAGATTGTCCCCATTTCAGATGTCTCTCAATGGTGTTACCTGGCTATCCGACCCATCAGCTATAAATGGGGGCTCCCACAATCCCCTGCTCAGGTTTATTAACTTGCTTGAGCAGTTCCTGGAACCTGGTGAGATGATTACATTTACCTGCCTATTATAAAGTGTATCACAAAGGATATAGATGGCGTAATGCACAGGGTGAGGTGTGGGGGGAAGAGCAAGAAACTGCCAGGCCCTCTCAGAGGCTCCACCCTCCAGGAACCTCCATGTGTTCAGCTATCAGAAAGTTCTAGAAATTCTGTCCTTTGCATAATTTATGAAGGCCTCCTTACTAAGGCATGATTGGTCATTGGTGATCAGTAAAACACCCTTTCCCTCTATTAGGAGGTTGGGAGTGGGGCTGAAAGTCCTAACTCTCTAATTCTGACTCGGTCTTCTTGGAGAACCAAGCCTTACCATGAAGCCACTAGCCATCATTCAGCTCATTTGCATATAGGAAGTGATGAGTTCTTTTGTTTGTTTGCGTCAAAACTGGTACTTAAACTCAGGAATTGCTCTTTTGTTTGGCTTTTTCACTAGTGCTCTACCACTTGAGCCACACCTCTACTTCTGGCTTTTTGGTGGATAACTGGAGAAGAGTCTTGTATTTGCCTGCTCTCAGATCTCAGCTTCCTAAGTAGCTAGGATTATAGGTATGCTTTTGAAGATCCAACAATTTAAAAGTTGTATGCCAGGAAAGAAGGGCAAAAGACATACTTCATAGTTCGGTAGAGACCTGGCCCTCAGGAGATTTAGTAATACTCCATACTGAGGTTCTTTCCAAAAGCTGAGTGTGGTTTTAGATCATCAGGCCATCCTCCTGAGGATGAGAAACAGTCTTTGAGTGCTCACTCCCTTCCTTATCCTCACCAGAACCAGCTGAAGGGCAGAATGGAGAGATATTGGGGATTCGCAGGGCCAATGGGCCAGGTCAGACAAGACACATGGGTCAGCCCAGATCTTAGCACTCTCAGAATAACCCTGAGCCTGTTCCTCCATCCACAAAATAAGGCAAGTGTTTTTTACCTTCCATCCTGTTCTTTTCTGTTGCATTAACTAAGAAGAGATCCCAGGAGTAAGAAAGGTCATGGATGTCTTCGCAGAGTTCACACACAGCCTGGAGAGAAAGTTCTTCATTCCAGTTGACATGGATGTCTTTAAAGTTCACCCAGAAGAGATGGATGAATCTGGAGCACACAAAACAGCATGATGGCTTAAGAAAACAAAGGAGGCTTCTTTGGCCATATTTTATTCAGACTGGCCAAGCCTGAATCACCCATGTTGGCTGTACATCGGGTGGGATGAGTGGGGGCGTCATGGCTCCTGTGATGAGCCGCATACCATATGACCCACGGCATCCCATGGGATACAAAATACTAGTGCTCACGAGCACCTGGCCCAGTTCAGAGACGCTGGAGGATTTCCTTCAGGTGACGAGGCACTGGGCCCTGTTTACCCTGGCCCTGAGCCTTCTCTATAGAGGAGTCCACCTCTGAGCCCTCCCATCCCTTCTCATTGCCTCATCAGCTTGCTTCACCTCTGCAGTGCAACCCTCCCCTGGACCCTTCCAAGCCAACAACCTTCACCTGGGCTTTGCTTCCTTTCTGGATGGGGCATTTGAGGCACAAGCAGGTGCCTCAAATGTATCCACAACCCACAAAGACCAATGACCTGGGGCAGAAGTAATCAGGGAAAGTTAGGTATGGAAAAGAGCAGCCAGGAAACGAGAGCAACTGTTGGATTAATGAGTAGGTATATTAGAAACACAGAAGTACCAATTCTTTGCTTAATGCTTCATAATGCCTCATAAACTATAGTATTAGTAGGAAGGAAAGAAGGAAGGGAGGGAGAGAAGGAAGGAGAAGAGAAAAGATAAAAAGAAAAAAAGAGAAACAGCAGCTCTCTCTCCCCCTCACATTGCCTTCTGACCTTGCCTATTTGCCCAAAATAATTGGTTGCTCTAGAAACTGAGCAAGGCTATCTAAAAGAAAGACACACTTATCCATACAAACACTTGGGAAAATGGCTCCTCTTGGCACAAATTGTGTTGAAAGGTTTTCCTTATCTCAAGGATGGACTCCCATCTTTAAAGGGTGCCTATGGCAAACTCCATCTTTCCATTGAAGAGCTGCCCAGACACCAACAACCAACACTGAGTGAGCTGGTCAGTCTTAAAACCTCTGAGCCCAGTTGAAAAAAGTATAACAGCAAGAGTGATTAAATGTGACAGGTGTGAGAACAAAGGGAGTATTTGTTCTAGGGTGAGTTTGAGCTAACTCTCAACCTACTTCTATGCCATAAATACCCAGGACATAAAACACTCCTTGGACCTGTCAGCAGTTGTGCCCATAACCACATTTGGATTGTGTACTATCTATCTTTCCTTTGCTTAATAAACTTTCTTAGGCTCTACTTCTATGTGTCCTCAATTATTTTTAATATCAAGAGCTAGGTTCCAATGGCTAAGCAGAGGCCTCGCCCCCTGCTACCTTTTTTTTTTTTTTTTGTAAATCATGAGGCTTGAACTCTAGGCCTGAACACTGTCCCTCAGCTCTTCAGCTCTACCACTTGAGCCACAGTACCACTTTCGATTTTATAGTGATTAATTGGAGATAAGAGTCTCACAGCCTTTCCTGTCTGGGCTGGCTTTGAACTGTGATCTTCAGATAGCCTTCTGAGTAGCTAGAATTATAGGCATAAGCCACCGGCGCCCGGCAGCCTCTTCCCTTTTGAGACATCCCTGGAGTATTGTCAGCCATCTATCCAGTATCAGCCCTCCATACAACTCCAGGGAACCCACAGCTCCACACCCCACACACAACTCTGAGCCCACCCCCCCTCCATGCAGGTGCTCCCACACATCCTGTACACAGCCACATGTCACCACAAATTTAGTCTATTTATTCCATCACTTTCTAAGGCTCTCTCTGTAATTATGGCTCCTCAAGACATCTCCAGGTGGCTGGAGCCTATCAAGGTCTCCTCATCTCATGGGTTTGTTTTCTGCAGGATGAAGGGGGCCTCTGAAAGGCCAGATGCTGGGGTGCCAGGTACTATGCAGGGCTCCCCTTTAGAGTGTCCTTGACCGGCACCCACAGTCAACACCTCAGCCTCAGTGTGTAACTCCCAGTGCCAGAGGTAAGGGGGCCACAGCACAATGGTCCCTCTGCTTCCTTGCAGAGAACCAAGCCCACTGGCCTTCATGTGTTCACATGTGGACATGTATACTGTTTTCTCCCTGGACTAGGGCTTCACTTCCAGAAATTTCAGTTATGCCTGGTCAACCAAATCTAATATAGGTAGAGAATTCCAAAAACAAGTAATTCATAAGCTTTACATGGTGCCATTCTGCTGGGCACAAGTGGCTCACACCTGTAATCCCAGCTGCATGGGAGGATCACAGTTCAGAGTCAGCCTGGGCAGGAAAGCACATGAGACTCTTAACAGTAAGGAAGCCAGAAGTGGAGCTGTGGCTTAAGTGGTAGAGCATTAGCCTTGAACCAAGAAGCTCAAGGACAGTGCCCAGGCTCTGAGTTCAAGGCCCAAAACCAACTGGCATACACACACACACACACACACACACACACACATCATTGTGTCACTCTAAGTAGTATGGTACAATCTTGTGCCGCCTCTAAAGAGTGAGAGGCCTTGGCCTGTACCCCTTGTTGCCCAGTGACCCAATCCCTTGACAGGCACAGGAAACCGGAAGCTGTTCCAGCCTTATCCTCCCTGGCAGAGCTCTGGTCAGGTACTGGTACTGGGTTGGGCTCCTGGGGCTGGACCAGGCCCATGGGTGCTATGCTGGCCTTGGTGCTGGGGACTTGTGGGGTTTAGTCACAGCATTTCTTTGTCCCTGCATGGTCTCATATCACACCTGTTCCATGCTGGTGTCCTGTTAGCCCTGCAATGTTGGAAGGCTCCCAAGCCTCTGAGACCTCCACTGTCGGACCAAAGCTCTAGAACAGTCTCCTCTCCTGGGGCCAGGTGTTCCAACAGAAGCGATCTTTCTGAGACCCATATACTCAGGGCCCCTCTTGGATGGGAAGCTGTCCAAGGCTCAGCCTAGAACAGGGACCCAAGTTCCATCCTCCCTTCTGACCTGACCCAGAAATGCTCTCAGTGAGCGCCATAGCTTTCCTGTCTTCCTGCCTACTACCTGCTCCTGGATGAGCCAGGAGCACTGAGTACTTGGACCATAGCAGGGGTACCTGAAGGCTGGGTCGTCGCGGGTAGACAGGAACACCTGGGCCTCAGAAGAGTTCCGGCCACCACTGGAGACAGTCAGAGTCACAAGGAACTGGTCACAGCATCCACTGAGCCACCCAGCCAGGAAGGAAACAGTGGGCGCTCTGGCATCCAGTTGGTGGGGCGGGGCGTTGTCAAAGCAGGGCCGTCCAGGTGAGCTGGCAACTGTGCATGCCCAGAGATACCTGTCAGAAGACCTCCAGGGGTCAGGCACCATCGTGTGAAATGGGGACACATGGGTGGGGAAGAGATGGTACCCTTCATTTTCCAATATCAGCAAGCAAGGGAGCTGGTTCCCGGCCTGGCTTCCTGGACTCCACCATGCAGGGGACAGGGAACTGCTCTTCCCCCTCACTTTCCTCTCCTTCCCATTCACACCTCTGCCACATTAGAAAACACAATCTATCTTTCTCCTCCCCTCTTTCTTTCTCCTCACTGCTGGAGGATCAAAGCTGTGAAGTAAGGCTCTGGTCTGTTCTAGAAGACTCCATCCTCTGCCTTGAAGAGCAGGCTATGGAACCAGTAAAGGAATGGAGGTCTCTAAGCAGAGGCCATATAGACACAAGCCAAAGCCAAAGTTCTGAGGCTCAGACCAAACAGAGGAAGTGGTGGGGAGAGTGAGAGAGAGAGAGAAGAGAGAGAGAGACAGAGACAGAGAGACAGGGAGACAGAGAGACAGAGACAGAGACAGACAGACAGAGACAGAGAAAGAGTCACAGAGACACACACAGGGATAGAGACATAGGGAGAGAGAGACAGAGAGAATACAGAGAGAAATAGCGAGAAAGTCAGAACACTGAAAAGACAAAAATAGAGACAGAGTAAGAGACACACAGAGCGAGACAGAGTGGCACAGAGTGAGACATAGAACACAGACATAAACAGAATAAGTGAGACATAGAGTCAGAATCCAAGATGCTGCTAAGGGTCTCGGCCTGAGCTTGTGAAATCACTGAGGCAATTCTTAGGCAGAGCTGGGGAAACGATATGAAGAATTGGGTTGTGGGGCAGAGATGTTTGGGGACAGGAAAGGGGTCCAGACAGAGGCCCAGTGCAGAGCCACAGTGATCTGAGTGAGGATGTGAGTGCCTGAGCTGACAGGTGAGTGCCCCTGTGCTGACAGGTGAGTGCCCGAGCTGACAGGTGAGTCCCTGAGCTGACAGGTGAGTGCCTGAGCTGACAGGTGAGTACCTGAGCTGACAGGTGAGTGCCCGAGCTGACAGGTGAGTGCCCGAGCTGACAGGTGAGTCCCTGAGCTGATAGGTGAGTCCCTGAGCTGACAGGTGAGTAGAGTGCCCTGAGCTGACAGGTGAGTGCCTGAGCTGACA